CATCATCACCACCCTCGCGGAGGCCCAAGGTGCTGTTCCCTGACACAATACAACAGCCTTGAGGACGTCTGCTTGCAGGAATGGAACGATGTGGCTTTTCCAGCAAATTGGCTAGATCTGAGCGGTGTCCAGATGTAGGGCAGTGTTCTTGTGAGGGAGCATCCTACCAGGTCCACGTAGGTTGGGTCCTTCCTGGACCTATCCGTCGATCGCCACCCCCTGTTTATTCTGCCCTTTCTACCTATTCCGCCTTTCCCGATATCCACTGATTTCCCTCTGTCCCACTCATTTTCCCTTTTCTTACATTTTTTAAAACACCGTTTTTATTTTTTTCTCATTAAAAAATCTTTTTTATATTTAAAATTTTTTGTGTTTGTGGAGCTCCTCTGGAATTTTATTTTGAAAGGTGCTAAATAAAAGATCGTTTTCTTTCGATGTGAATTTGGACGGTCTATCCTTTTCCCTGTTGCCTAGCAACCATGATGGGCCCTTTTAAAGCATCCTTGGGAACTGGACAGCCTTGTCGCTTCGCTGTGACGTAGTCGACGTGGGATACTCGACCAGAACTGGACAGCTGTTTGTGTGGTTCTCTTCTGTTCAGACACTGAGCTTTAGCTCATCAGGAAGGTCCAAATGGGAATCTCTGCCTTGTTAAAACATTCCAGTGGGATTCCTACATTCCACAGCAGTTATTGGAACCTCCTGGAAGAACACGCTTAGGAACAAGCCCTGTCTAAAGGAGTGTGGCAGCGGGACAGGAAGTGTGTGTTGTAGCTGGCCAGTGATGTTGGGAACACGGAGGGTGTGCCTTTGGAGAGGACGGCTCCCTGGAACATTTCTTCTGTCGGAGAGAACAAAGACAAATGGACTGCAGAGAAAACCCAACACGAGCGTGATGAGTTAAACGGACTGTCCTGTTATGACACAGGAAGTGGTTTCACACAGGGCTCACTGGTTCCTGGATGTTCCTAAACTGTCTCCCCTGGTCTAAGAGGAGTTTTGTGAGGTGGAGATGTTTCCCTGATGGTTATGATTATCCTGTGGGAAACTGGACGCTGCCTTTATGGATCAGCTGTTTTCTCTGACGTCTAATTCTGAGTCTGCCTGAAACGGAACGCCCTGGCAGAGACGGCTCCTGCTGTAGAGGAGTTGGAACATCTCCTGAAGACCCAGCAGCAGTTAAAACCAGAGCAGGCATCTCTAGCCTTCTTCCTTTGGCTGGGAAAGAAAAGCCTCATTGATGGTGCTGCTGAAAGAGGCCTTTGTGAGCAGGGGTCTCTGCTGGGATCTGCTGCTGCTTCAGGAAGTTATTCATGTTTAGATCTGATGGACTTCTGACTTCATAAACAGTCAAGTTCAAATGTCTGATATTTATGGGAGAATCTGTTATTTATGAAAAAAAAAGTGCTTTTTCTGTTTCTGTTTTTCATGACTAATGGGCTCGACACACGGGAGGCGACATCGCCTCTCCTCCATTCATTTTCAATGAGACATGCGTGACAAAGCGATAATCGTGGGTCTCCCTCCTACTAAGCGAAACGCGAAAAACGTGCGTGTGAAATTCTGCGCTCGTGCACGTGTCGTGCACAGGCGACCCAGCGACGTGATCCCAGACAGTTGAAACATTTTCAACTTTTCATCGCTGTCGCTCGGACGAGGACCAATCAACAGTGGTTTCATTCACTGACCAATGAGCGGACAGGATGCTCCGTACACCTCTGAGCAAACATGGAGGAGAAGTTGATTATTATTGTTTTATAGTAAAATCAGAAGTAAGATTTCACATAACTCTAGCAGCACCTTGTGAAACATCATATCTACCGCTTTTTAAACTCTGAACCGCTTAAATAACCTTAATTCCCTCCAACCTGACACAGCCAAACAAAACAACGGAAGTTTTGATTTCGCCATGGAACAGAACGCGTAGACGCAGGGTCCGAAATTAACACTCGCCAAATGCGAGCAAATTGCTCCATTTGGCAAGTAAATTTTTGAGCTCTACCTGCCACCTGGCGAGTAAATGTTTGCACCAAATTAGTTATGTTTATCAGTCATCTTCCATGGATGTCTGATACTCCTCCCGCCTGCATGCAACGTACACAAACGTACGCGAAACGTGAACGCCGCATCCAACGTCATGTCCACATATCCCATTCAATCAGTTTATCAAGTTAGCAGTTAGCTTCGTGTTAAAACTAGCGGTGAAATGTGGCGGTTTTTAACTGGAGTCAGCCAGCCTTCCAAAAGAAAACTCGTCGAACTGGAAGAAAAACCACCAGGACCAGTGGCAACCAGAAGATTTTGTGAAAAGTGGTGAACTGGAGATGGCGGAGTCGTGAGACACTGGCTACATTATGATGGCCACGTAGCGCTGCTGCCTTTCACAGACAACTGTCCCTCGGCATTCTTCAAATATCCAAAAAATGCCCATTCTTCCGACTTTGTCTTCTTTGAGGGATAATAAATGTCCCGAGTGCTGCCGTCTCCTCCTGCCATTATTTCAGCTTTAGCTTCAAGAAAGTTTTGGTTGTAAACAACAAAGTGCGCATGTGCCGCCGGCAACTTCAGCAGATGGTACGGTGGCTGGTAAGGGTCACCGCAGCCACGGTAATCCACCGAGATAATTATTATTTTTTTAAACAAGACTGTTATTATTATTGTCAACTTTTTTACTGGGGTTTACTGCTACACCGGTTACCGTGACAACCCTAGCCCTGACACACTTTCAGATATTCTCATGCTGCAGCTGTGTTCTCCAGAGATCAAGGACTATGACCCAAATGAGGCTGTAATGCTTTGGCACAAAGACCGTGCCAGAAGCAGGAGGCCAGACTTCATGGACAGAGAAAACAAGGAGTCTGACTAGATTTCAATTAAAGAGTTCATAAAAACATCTCTAAAAATAAATAAATAAATAGTAAAAATGACAAAAGAGTTGTTTTTCTTATTAATTGATGTTTTCATTATTTTGTCACTCTGTTTGGAATCAACATAATATAGAATTACATGCTTTAGGTAGATCTAAATCATTTAGAATTTTGGCCGGTAAAAAATATGCTTGGTCGGTAGATTTTCATCATCAACCAGCCAACTTGGCCGGTGAGTAAAAAATTTTATTCCGGACCCTGCGTAGACGGCTTTGCCGCTGGCCGCTGCCGCGGATCGCCTCCCGTGTGTCAGGTAATAAAAGCGACGGCGACAAATTTCGCTGATAGTGGTCATTTGTAGCCTCCCATGAGTCGAGCCCATAACTCACCTGCATAGCATCTCCTAGCGGCTGTTCTCCTAAGCAGCCCTTATCTGATGGTCCGGTTCTGTAGCGGACCATTTAGAGTGGACCGGGCTTTTAAAGAGATGAAGCACTTAAGACCCATCAGTCCCGTGGAGTTATTTTAGCCTCGGATGTTCTCCGTGCGTTGGTGTTTCCTGTTCCAACCCTAACCCAACAGGACCCTGATCCTTAGATGGTTCCAGAGTTCTGGTCAGACTCTGCAGGAAGGTTGTAGAAATCCAGTGTAACTACACATTACCATCCACATAGAGAGCAACTGGGTTCAGTTTGTCGTTTTAAGTTATTTAGTCGTAAATCGCCATAAAAATGTCGTCCTCTACTCGGTGAGGAACAAAGACGACTACAAGGACCGAGCTATTGGAACTATTCCACGGTTAGCTGTATTTTGTTAAACTTTGTGGCCTCAGTGGTTACAGATAAATGTGTTTACAGCTGCAGCAGAAGGTCTAAGCCACACGTTTGAGTCTGATATGCATTTCTGACTAACGTAGCAACATTAAAGTCATGGAAACTGTGAGGAGAGCCTGTGAGCATAGCTCTTCGTTGCTGCAGATCTGCAGTGACCAGCTGATGCACGAACTTCAGGGGCTGGTTGGGGCTGTTCATCTAAAATAATACTTGACATATTCTAACAATAAATTCACCTGGAGCCGGTAGAACCGATCGTCCCGCCAAACATCACGAGCCCCGTTAGCCTAGCTAGATAGCGTGACAGCAGCACAACTCCAGCGGGCAAAAGAGAAGGTTTTGGTTGTTTTTAGAGTTATATGAATAAGTACGCTGGTGTTGAGAAGCCTGCAGATGTGTTTACTTCATTCTGCTCTAATTCCTCTTAAAACCTGTTTTTTCCGTCACACATTTCTGGATTCTGTGGATTTTGTCGGACCTTTGTTTCCTATGAATTTTGGATTCTTGACTCCTTGAAGCTTTAAGTGAACTGCAAACCCTTTGGATCTGACAGAGGCAGCTCAGCTAAAGTGTAAGCTCTGCTACTTTGAAGCTACCTTGAATGTCTGTTCTCCCTCTCCTTCTGCCCCACAATAAAGGTTTTATGCTTTCTAAAGCAAATAAAATGAAGCTTAAAGAGGATAAACCACGACTGCTGACCTGCAACAGAAGCAAATGCTGCTGGATCATTTTAGAACTGGTCACTGACCAAGACCTTTGTCAGTCAGAACTCTGCTCCAAGACACCGTTGTTGGGATCCTGCTGCACTATTCCTACTGACTTCCAGCTCCACTCCTGGTCCAGAGGTTGTGGAATGTGGCCGTAGGAGTTTCAACGTGTGTGAACGGTCTTTCAGCCATCCACCGTGGCAACGGGGACATCTCATGGGCATGACGTCACGTGCACAGGGCCAATAGCTAGCCCAGCTCTGGTTTCACTTCCTGTCCAGCTGCTCTGAGCCGAGAACGCGTGATTGGTGCAAATAGGGAGATGTGTACAGAGAGGGATGGCCGGTCAGAGGGCAGTTTGATAGGTGGATCAGGATCCAATCTTTAAGAACGGGACCTTCACACTGATTGGATGAGGTTTTTCCAGGATTGTCCGTTGCTAACCCTAACTAAGCATGCCATTTATTGGTGTGAGAGGAGCAGAAAAACAAACTTCTGCTACCTGTAATGCTGGCGACTATTGGACATGATGGGATGGAACCAGTAAATACCCAGCAGCAGCTGACCTGACTGTTTGTTTTTATTTCCTGCAGCAACGCTCACCTGGTAAAGTCCTGTTTGACCTGGTTTGTGTCCATCTCAACCTGACTGAAGGGGACTACTTTGGACTGGAGTACCAGGACCACCGGAAGATGATGGTAACGGCTCTACAGAAACCCAATAATCCCTTTTTAGGTGTTTGTCCCCCTTATGATCTCCAGTTTTCACATGGAAACCTCTGATTCAGTTTGATGAAGTCAAAAAACATAAAAAGTAAAATATTACATTAGTTTATCAAGTCAGTCTCTAACTTAACCACATCGGTAGCTGAGTGGAGACGTTACTTCCTTTATTAGCCTTTCACAATAAGAGTCCTAGACAAAGACAAGTATTTGGATAAAGTACCCTTAAATGCTGGGTGCGTTGTGTTTTCATCTTGCAGACTAGACTTGAGCTGTGTCAGCAGTAACAAACTTCCTGTTTACACTCTGCAGCTGAGAGTGGAGGGTACCTATGACTTGAGTAAAATGGTTGATGTCGACTGCACTGATTATATAATGCTAATGTGACTCTGGAGTCTGGGTTTGCTGTCCTCTGCAGGTGTGGCTGGATCTCCTGAAGCCGACACTGAAGCAGATCAGACGTGAGTCTCTTCATCATTTATCTAACAACTCGCTCTTGTTAATAAATATGTTTGCACAAAGCTTTGGTTGTTTTCTGCCTCCACTTTCTGTCTCTTTGACCCCCTCCAGGGCCCAAGAACACCATCCTGCGCTTGGTGGTGAAGTTCTTCCCTCCCGACCACACACAGCTCATGGAGGAGCTGACTCGGTAGGTTTCAGAGCCACGCCCACCCACCCAGAGAGGAGCTGTGGGAGCGCTCGTCTGGCTCTGGGCTTTTCTCCAGCCTTCATGAGGAGCTGAAAGCACCAGTTATGGTTTCTGGATGTTCTAAAGATAACTGGTCAGCTCCTCTGCTGCTTCCTGCTTCCTGCTCAGGAACATTTAGAGTTTGGAACCAGACCCATAAAACAGTTTATTGTGTCGACGCTAAAACGAGACGCTAGTGAGAGGTTCTGGTCTGCTCTCCTTCACTTCATCCAAACAACCACCAGACTCGCTCCTTTCAGGACTTCCCATCATGCTTTGTGGCTCCCAGCCAGGCTGGCTTGAGACTAGTAGCAACCCCCCCCCCCCCCCACACACACACACACACACACACTCGTGTTACTACTCCGATCCCCGGTCATCCTGCAGCGTTTCTCATCAAACAGGAAGTGGCGGGCGGCTGTTGTTTCCTTGTTTGGCTCCTCTGATGACAGAAACATGGAGGACAGCGGCTATGTTTAGATTTTATTCCTTTAGGTAGAAAACATTTAGTTGGTATTTACACTCAAAATCAAAATATACTACAATAAAGTGCAATTAATAAATATGGATATAAAGTGATAATACTAAACTTAAAATGTATTTAATATAAAGTGGCTATTTAAAGTTTTTTTTTAACAAAGTGAAAGTTTTTTTTTTACCTTACTTAATTTCTATCGTTCCTGCAACCTTCTTCAGAGCTAGCCCCCAATGACGGCATCACTGCAGGCAGCAGCATGTAATACATGTATTATATGTAATATACGTAATGCATATATTACATGTAATACATATATTACATGTAATACATGTATTATGTAATATAATACATGTATTACATATATGTAATATATCTAATACATATAATACATGTAATATATGTAATACATGTAATATATGTATTACATATAATATATATGTATGCATATAATACATGTATTAAATGTATTACATATATTACATATAATACTTGTAATATATATTACATGTACTATATTTAATACATATAATACATGTATTATATGTATATGTATTAAATGTATTATACAGATACATTTATTATATGTAATACATGTATTACATATAATGCATGTGCATGTATAATACAATACATGTGTTATACAGATATTTATTATATCTAATACATGGAATACATATAATATACATTTATTGTATGTAATACATATAATACATGTATTATATATATATTACATGTATAATAGTACAATACATGTATTATACATATATATTTATTATATGTAATATATATAATATACATGTATTATATGTATTTTATGTACATGTAATACATTAAAAACACACACAGATCGCAATTATATTACATGTATTACATGTAATTTGAGAAATCCCACCAAGAGTTTGTTCATGTCAGCAGGGGGCAGCAATGAGCTGTTTAATAGTAATTAAAACTAGCTCTAGCTAAAATCCCCGTGGATCACCAAGAGAAAAGTGTTTGGGCCTGTTTAGAAGATGTTTCCTCCCAACTATTTAAACTACCGATTGCACACACACACACTGATCATGTTACAGCCATACGCTGCCACTGTGTCTTACTCTTGTTCTGCCCTCTGTGCCTGGTGTGACTTTTAAAACGTAAAAGCAATTGAGGGTTTAACCGTTAGATGAAAGTAAAAAAAACTGTTTGTTTCCTAATGTTGATTCTCCACACCTTCACATCAGAGCCATAACATTTCTGTTTAATGTGAGGATTTTTCATGTTAAAACCTTTAATATTTTAAGCATCTCGGCTTTCTTCAGAGCTAAAACATTGCACCAGCTCGGCTCCAGGCTTAAATTAAACCCCATAATTAGAGAAGCCTCGTTAACTCTGAGATTTAATCCTGCATGTGTTAAAGCTGCTGTGTTTAGACACTGAAACGAGCCAGGAGCCTTTGGTGTGGTTGAAGTGAACCTGCCATAAATATTATTTTTACCTGTATAAATATATATTTAACAAAAACCCCATCTTAACATGGCCGTTCCCTGTCTCCCCCCACCCCCCACCCCAGGTATTTGTTTGCCCTGCAGATCAAACGCGACCTGGCCTGTGGCCGTTTGATTTGCAACGACACCAGTGCTGCTCTCATGGTTTCACACATCATTCAGTGTAAGTACCACTCTGAGTAACAGCACAGTTATATAATCCTTAGGATAATCTTTAATGTGGGGCAATAATCTGTAAACAAACCACTTGGTTACATCCAAATTATTTACATTAATTCATGCTTTTTGCATTTAGATGTATAAAAACTCTATCGTTGTAAAAGTTCATTTAATGCTGTTATATCTGGAACAGATACTGGAGGTGTGTCTGTCTCCACACATCAGCTCTTTTTTGTTTTACCTGACTTCTGTAGAACACTTCCTTACCAAAATGAATACATTAAATACATTTTAGCAGGACTGAGAACACGTCCTGGTGGAACACCATCCTCAGCATCTATACAGCTAAGAACTTCAGTAAATCACAGCCTGTTAAATAATGAATTACATTATTTTAAACCACCTTATTCAGATTTGAGCAAACACTGAACCTGCTGAGTCACTGGTAGAGTTAGTCCATATGAGCTGACCTCATAATTAACTCAATTAATTATTAAAGGTTTATCCATTAAGGGTCTATAATATCTAAGCTTCCCTCCTGCCGTTCCTCCACACTTATCTTACAGAATTTGTCCTTCTGCAACTCAATATGGAGTCCAGTTTTGAGATTTAGTCTTCCTGGCAGTGGTGGGCAGTTGTCACGGCAACTGTGTATGTGTAGGGTTGTTATTGCTGGTGCTGGACAGTTGCCAAAACCTGATCCTTGTACATCTGGAATAAATGTCTTTCCCTTGTCTCTTCCCACTAGCTGAGATTGGAGACTTTGATGAGACACAGAGCTGGCAGCATCTCCTCCACAACAAGTACCTACCGGACCAGGACGCCATCAGAGACTTGATTATAGACTGCCACCGCAAGCATGTGTGAGTAGGATTTTCCTTTTTGGGGTTCTGCTGGTGGTCATGATAGTGATTCTACTGTTGTTCTTACTACTGGTCCTACTTGTAGTTCTAGAGGTGGTTCTACTGGTGTTATTAATACTGGTCCTAGTTTTAGTTCTAGAGGTGGTCCTACTGGTGTTCTTACTACTGGTCCTAGTTTTAGTTCTAGAGGTGGTTCTACTGGTGTTATTACTACTGGTCCTAGTTTTAGTTCTAGAGGTGGTCCTACTGGTGTTATTACTACTGGTCCTAGTTGTAGTTCTAGAGATGGTTCTACTGGTGTTCTCCCTACTGGTCCTAGTTTTAGTTCTAGAGGTGGTTCTACTGGTGTTATTACTACTGGTCCTAGTTTTAGTTCTAGAGGTGGTCCTACTGGTGTTCCTACTACTGGTCCTAGTTTTAGTTCTAGAGGTGGTTCTACTGGTGTTATTACTACTGGTCCTAGTTGTAGTTCTAGAGATGGTTCTACTGGTGTTCTCCCTACTGGTCCTAGTTTTAGTTCTAGAGGTGGTTCTACTGGTGTTATTACTACTGGTCCTAGTTTTAGTTCTAGAGGTGGTCCTACTGGTGTTCTTACTACTGGTCCTAGTTTTCGTTCCAGAGGTGGTTCTACTGGTGTTATTACTACTGGTCCTAGTTTTAGTTCTAGAGGTGGTCCTACTGGTGTTCTTACTACTGGTCCTAGTTGTAGTTCTAGAGATGGTTCTACTGGTGTTCTCCCTACTGGTCCTAGTTTTAGTTCTAGAGGTGGTTCTACTGGTGTTATTACTACTGGTCCTAGTTTTAGTTCTAGAGGTGGTCCTACTGGTGTTATTACTACTGGTCCTAGTTTTAGTTCTAGAGGTGGTCCTACTGGGGGTCCTGATATTCTTACCTACATAAAACATCTATGTTTGGGATAAAAGCTGTGGAAAAATGAGTAAAATTATTATTTGGATGGTTAGGGTGAATTGACCTGAACACACTCTCAGATCCAGATCCGCCTTGGTCAGATTTACTTAAGGGTGAGGTAGGTAAGGGCATAAGAAAAGTGTCTCAACAGACCCCCCCAAGGGATGAAAGTCAGTACACACAGCTTTCTTGGACCTACGAAGTCACAGACTAAGGATCTGAATCTGACTGTTAGATACGCATTTTCTACACACTCCCAGCGATTTGATACATTAACAATACGGTGAACCCTCTGCCGATACGATTCCTCCCTGTTCACGGTTCAATAACGATTTGGAATTGATCTTTGATTTGATACAATTCATGATGCGATTTGAAACGGTTCAACACATTAAAAATAATTTACATGCCCACATCTGGTTTTTAAGGCATCATCACAATGTTTTCCCTCTCTGTGAGGGATGTATTAGATCCTCTTTTTTTTTCTCGATTAATCAATAAATTCAAAATGAAAACAAATGCACTTCATCAGTGATGTTATACATTTTAATATATTGTGGTACATTCAGTCAGACAATATTAGCAATTTTTAGACTGAATTTATTGTAGGAAAACCCAAAAAACAGTCCAAACTGATATGGAACATGAGGAATCTGCACCATAACAGGGATATGCATTTTAATGGCAAAAACAGAACCCATTGCACACTGCTGCCAACTAGCGGTTGGAGTTTGAGTTGCACCAAAGGAAAAGAAAATGCACAAATGTTTGCATGTTAATTCTTCCAAAAACTGGATACACAGCTTTCAAATATCTATATAATATTGCAGGGAAAAATGTCACGATATATTGCCTTTTCGATATTTTCTTACATCCCAAATAACTGATAATAAATCATTATTGAATCAAGTAAACTCATTTGGTATATTTAAGATCTGTAACAAGGCATTTCAAGAATAAACTATTATGTTGATTCATTCATTACTGTAAAGCAGTCAAGACTTATTAAAATCACTTAACACAAAATATTCACTAATAATGGAATTGTAACTTACCTGCTGCTGTAGCCTGTTGTTACTGTTCCTACTGGAGAAGCAGGGAGACGTGAGTTTATATCAGCTGTTTACTGGACTTCTCTGGACCACTCGTAAGGGCAAAGTGTCATTCTGTCTGGAGTGTTTTAGTTCTGCACAAATGTCACAACAATAAGCGATTATCTTAAATTACCTCACACAAAGCTTCAGGTGTGCAGATCTGTAAGAATACTGCTGCTGCACAAACCAGAGATCATGTCACGGAGAGGTTTATTTTATTTCGGCAAGTACAGGAAGCACGTACGTCTGTTAATATTGTCCCAATACCGTCCAACCACAGCTGTGCAGTGCTCACCACCAAGCTTCTGCTAAGAAATGGATGATTTGTTCAATGCCCCTCAAAAAACGAAGCCATAGCAGGTAAACTATGAGGTAATCGATCTAACCATTGTTTTTATCGACGAGAGACGCGCGTAGAAAGATGCATCGCGATATAGCCGTCAGTTATAACCGATGCAACCTGAAGCTACCGGTGCAGTCGCATCGCTAACGTTATGAACGAACCACCAGTTCAGAGCGGTGAATCTCTCCATCCCTATTACAAACATGCCTCCAAGCAAACAGGAAGTTTTGACTCAAAACTTGACTTTTTGACCTTGTTTGGACCGTTTGGTCGAAGTCCAGTTTGTGTTTTTGTGAGCATTAGTGCTGTTTTCCTTCAGATGTCTAAATTAGATTTGTGTGTTTGGTTCCAAATCTGCTGTGTTTACTGCAGAAAGGCTGGTGAAGATCAGCAAAGCATGTAGAACACATCTGAGCTGAGGTGTCAGGATGCTGTTAATAAACACACACACCACTGGAAAACAAACATCTGGTCCGTATATCTTTCATCTTCCCCTCGGCCGGCACAGGAAGGAAGTGGCTAATTCAGCAGCTCATACAGGAAACAGGAAGTTGTTCCTGAATTTGAAAGGGAAAGAGCTCCTTGTGGGCAGGTTTCTCCCCCTCTGGTGTAGAACAGCGGTCCTGTAGTGGTGTAGAACGTCTTTTTGGTGCAAGTGTCCCTGATTGAAATCTGTCCTCCACAGCGGACAGACTCCAGCTGAATCTGACTATCAGCTGCTGGAAATCGCCCGGCGGCTGGAGATGTACGGCGTGCGTCTGCATCCTGCCAAGGACCGAGAGGGCACCAAACTCAGCCTGGCCGTGGCGCACACCGGGGTCCTGGTCTTCCAGGTATCCCCTTTAAAAACCATATTCACACCCTGGCATACATGTCAGTTTAGACATTTAGGTCCTGCATGAGCCGAGTTGTTTTATTTAGCTAAAACCAGATCAGTCATGAGTTTCCTCTCTTCCAACTGAGAGGATCTTGTCTCTGATTGGTAAACTATAAGTCCAGGTATGAGATAAACATAAACATCTCTAAACCAGCAAATGTTTGTCTTTAAAAAAAAAGAAAGTTGAGTAATTTAAACTATAAATCCAGTCTGGAGACATTTACAAGGCCGGAACTCGGGCTTGATCCGGCTGTAACGAGCTGTACATTCCTGGAATATTTTCCTTGAAGGCTGTCTTGTGTTGTCTCCAACTGCTCATGACTAAAGCCTGGTTCATGCTTCTCCGTCAGCTCCGCAAGGGACAGACACGCACGGATTGACGGAAGCGTTTTGCTCTCATACTTCTCCGTCTCCTGGAGAGTGTTGCAAAGCAATTCCCTGCCAGGAGCACAGAGGGCGTAGCGCTGTTCTGTGGTATCCTGTCATGTATCGGTCCAAGATAGTGTGTTTATATTGTGTTTTTTGTGTATATAAGAGACTTTTAACACGGACATATTTGTCTCTCATTCTCCCACCTCTTCATGCGCTTGTCACCTCTAAACCCACGTTTTCCGTCCACAAATAAAACGCTTGCTGCGCATCTTTTCACTCCTCCCGTCACAGGGAATTAAACGTTCATGTTTTTAGAGTTTTTTCGCGAGGTCTTCTTCAAGCTTCTTCGTGTCTGCCGCTAGTTATCCTCGGCTCTCTTTATGTTTTTGAGGGCGCAATGGCGGCGGTGTAGACGACAGCGGCGTCCTGACCAATCACAAGCTTTTGTTCTCCGTCTCGACTGACGGATGTTTAGAAAAGAGAGCTCGACTCCGTCCGTCCTTGCAGAGCTCTCCGACAGGCCCGCAAGGATGTTGCGTGTCTCCGCACTGACGCAGACGGAGAAGCATGAATCAGGCCTAACCCGAAACCTGAAGGTCTTCTGGGAACATTTGAAAACCAGGTCATACATGCACGTATGTGTATGCAGGTCACACGTGCACATATGTGCCTGCAGGTCATATGTGCATGTATGTGCCTGCAGGTCATATGTGCATGTATGTGTGTGCAGGTCATATGTGCATGTATGTGTCTGCAGGTCATATGTGCACGTATGTGTCTGCAGGTCATATGTGCACGTATGTGTCTGCAGGTCATATGTGCACGTATGTGTCTGCAGGTCATATGTGCACGTATGTGTCTGCAGGTCATATGTGCACGTATGTGTCTGCAGTTCACACGTGCACGTATGTGCCTGCAGGTCATATGTGCACGTATGTGTGTGCAGGTCATATGTGCACGTATGTGTGTGCAGGTCATATGTGCACGTATGTGTCTGCAGGTCATATGTGCACGTATGTGTCTGCAGGTCATATGTGCACGTATGTGTCTGCAGTTCACACGTGCACGTATGTGTCTGCAGGTCACGCGTGCATGTATGTGTCTGCAGGTCACTCGTGCACGTATGTGTCTGCAGGTCACGCGTGCACGTATGTGTCTGCAGGTCACATGTGCACGTATGTGTCTGCAGGTCACACGTGCACGTATGTGTCTGCAGTTCACACGTGCACGTATGTGTCTGCAGGTCACACGTACACGTATGTGTCTGCTGGTCACGCGTGCACGTATGTGTCTGCAGGTCACGCGTGCACGTATGTGTCTGCAGGTCACGCGTGCACGTATGTGTCTGCAGGTCACGCGTGCACGTATGTGTCTGCAGGTCACGCGTGCACAAATGTGTCTGCAGGTCACACGTGCACAAATGTGTCTGCAGGTCACACGTGCACAAATGTGTCTGCAGGTCACACGTGCACGTATGTGTCTGCAGGTCACACGTGCACGTATGTGTCTGCAGGTCACGCGTGCACGTATGTGTATGCAGGTCACATGTGCACGTATGATGCAGGTCACATGTGCACGTATGTGTCTGCAGGTCACGCGTGCACGTATGTGTCTGCAGGTCACGCGTGCGTGTATGTGTCTGCAGGTCACGCGTGCGTGTATGTGTCTGCAGGTCACGCGTGCGTGTATGTGTCTGCAGGTCACGCGTGCGTGTATGTGTCTGCAGGTCACGCGTGCGTGTATGTGTCTGCAGGTCACGCGTGCGTGTATGTGTCTACAGGTCACGCGTGCACAAATGTGTCTGCAGGTCACATGTCCACGTATGTGTCTGCAGGTCACGCGTGCGCGTATGTGTCTACAGGTCACGCGTGCACAAATGTGTCTGCAGGTCACATGTCCACGTATGTGTCTGCAGGTCACATGTGCACGTATGTGTCTCCAGGTCACGCGTGCGCCTATGTGTCTCCAGGTCACACGTGCGCATATGTGTCTGCAGGTCACTCGTGCACAAATGTGTCTGCAGGTCACATGTGCAAGTGTGTGTCTGCAGGTTACACGTGCACGTATGTGTCTGCAGGTTACACGTGCACGTATGTGTCTGCAGGTCACACGTGTGTGTCTGCAGGTCACGCGTGCACGTATGTTTGTGGTTTTTATGCTGATGCTTTCTCCTTTTTAGGGCTACACAAAAATAAACGCCTTCAATTGGTCCAAGATCCGGAAACTGAGCTTCAAACGAAAACGCTTTCTGATCAAGCTGAGATCCGACCCCGGTGTAAGTCTGAGTTCTTTTGTCCTATGGGTTTTCTTTCATCAGAGTTAATTTGTCCCTCCTCGTCTTCTAGCAGAATTCCCATCACGACACGCTGGAGTTTGCCATGGCCAGCAGGGACTGCTGCAAGATATTCTGGAAGATCTGTGTGGAATATCACGCCTTCTTCAGGCTCTTTGAAGAGCCTAAGCCTAAACCCAAACCTATCATCTTCACCAGGGGGTCCTCATTCCGTTTCAGGTGAGCTGCCAAAGAACACCTCTTCTGTCAGATCCAATCACTGAACTGCTTATTGTGGACACAGTTGATGCGAGCGCCTTTACTTTCATGAGCTCCAGAGGTTATGTTAGTTACCCAAGACCTAACCCTAGAGTCAGGTCTTTGTCCTGGCTGACCCATTAAGACATCATACCGGGAAATCAGCATCGATACGTTGTGTCTTATGAACTTGCCGTGATGGCATAGCGATGCTGGAATTTTGGCTTTCATGCTGCCAAGCTTGGCAGTAATATTCCCACAAAGCCAGACTCATGAAGGAAAATTCTGCTTTGGCACGACAGCGGGTGATGTCTCGATCAGGTGTGGATTGTACGCTGAGCACTGGCTGGCAACTGTATTGAAAATGAAAGTAAAGACGGGCATAAGTTCAGCTTCTGTAGCCAGAATGAGCTGAGACAATTAACTGGAGTGATGCAAAGCTCCGGGAGCTTCTCTTTGTTAGGTCTGGAGCACAGATCACAAGACAGTTCAGGGGGACTGTGGAGCACAGACACATTTAGGAGCGACTTGTGAAATAGGAGCATGGCTTCAAATGCAATAAATAACAAGTTAACTGTGGCAGCGCAGAAACCGTCCCCACACCCTCATTAGGCCATCGCCTAATCTTTTGTGAAAATCACGATTGCTCCACAATACCATCACAGTCTGACCACTTATGAACAGTCTTCATCCCTACTGACTCAACTGTCTTCGTCTCAACTGACTCTGATCTTTTCCTGACTGACCCAAGCGTCTTTCGTCTAGACTGACTCGGATCTTTTCCTGACTGACTCATCTGTCTTTGTCTAGACCACATGTGTCAGACACAAGGCCCGCGGGCCAGATGCGGCCCGCGGAGCATTTTTATGTGGCCCGCGAGATAAATATCAAAAATATATTAAAACTGGCCCGCTGGCCAATTTTACCGCAAAGACTTCAACTCCCATGATGCTTTGCGGCGTCAGCGCAGAGCCGACGTGTCCCCTCCTTTGTGTTTTCCCAGCTCCTGCTGCCGGTATCTGCAACTCCGCTATCTCTGACAAACTACACTCTTCTCACTCAGCGCCGAGTTCACTCAGCTATTTTCTGACGTTGAAGCCCAGAAACAGAGATTCTAGCCGCTCAGTAATGTGTTCACGACTGAAAGAGAAAGTTTTCCAACTATCGTCCAGACAGAGCTGATATAACTCCAGCGAGCAGCGACACGCTCAAACCAGCACGACTCTGTGGTTGTGTTTCCTCCCCGACACACAACAACGCGGTCGAGCTGCTCAGACATGTTCATCAGCACAAACCTATGTGAGCACCTGTTGTCATCTAATGTTGTCGTTATTATGATGAAGATGAACAAAACAACAGGAGTCTCCTCCTCAGCCCAGATCAACCCCATGATGCAGGTATCTGGCTGGAACAGGTGAGCATCACAGTAAACCAGTGGAGCAAACTGAGCTTTCAATATGTTGGTTTTCTGCTCTTTTTCTGCTCCAAAACATGAAAGTTAACAGGTGAGATGTTGCATTTTCATTTAAGATAAAATGATATTTTTATTTTGTTGTTGGCCCGTGAGAAAAGATTTAACCTACAGTAAACAGGAAGTGGAAAGGCTGCAGATAGATGAATAGAATAGAAAATCCCTTTATTGTTCCTCAGTGGGGAAAGCTAGACGTCACAGCAGCGATGACACTTATTACAGGAGAAAAAAAGAAGAATAAAAAATGAGAAAAATGAACAAACAACATGAAAACATAAATCCTGAATGGATTTATAAAATGCTGATTATACCACAAGTAATGAATACCACTGATGCCTTTTATTTAAAACTGACTTGCTCGTGTGTAATTTGGTTTTTCCACATTCAGTGTTAATGCAGAAATAAGTTTGTTTCCAAATTTAAAGGTTCAAAATTGCATAAATGTTGATAAAGAAAATGTGCAAATTTGCCGTCACTTTTTCAAAAAATATTAAGTTTGGCCCTCGACTCCGTCCCAGAGTTTCATTTCGGCTCCGTGTGAGTTTGAGTTCGACACCCCTGGTCTAGACTGACTCAAATCTTTTCCTGACTGACCCAAGTGTCTTCGTCTCGACTGACTCGGATCTTTTCCTGACTGACTCAACTGTTTCGACTGACTCGGATCGTATCCTGACTGACTCAACTGTTTTGACTGACTCGGATCTTATCCTGACTGACTCAACAGTCTGTGTTGGTGTGTTTTTTAGTGGTCGAACCCAGAAGCAGGTCTTCGACCACCTGAAAGACTCGGAACTGAAGAGAGTTCCTTTTGAGAGGTGAGACTTCTTCAGACCTGAAGTAATCAGATTACTTTTTGAGTCAGATCATTACTTGCAGGTGCTTTAACCTCCTGCCGTCTTCACAGGAAACACAGTAAGATTCTGTCCAACAGTAGCGTGACCCCCCAGTCTACTTCCTGGAGATCCCATGAGCCAAAAGAGGTGGATCTTCTGCTCTTTGTTTGTTTTTCTGAAGCTGTAAACAACAATTTAGCTAAACGTAAATAACTGCTTTCTTCTTCTGTGGTATAATTGCAGAACATTGCTTCGGCGCTCCTAGCAGACCAACTGGACTCAGTCCGCCTGGGCCAGGAGGTTAAATCTACTGGCTCAGAGGACGTCGCCCCTCCTACCAACGGTTTCCATGACAACACAGTTGGCTCAGGCTCCGCCCAGCAGAACCACGCAAGCCAGCAGCTCCTGAACCCAGGTCCAACCTGCAGCGCTAACAGAGGCAGCAGCTCCTCTATCCCTTACATAGACTGCAGCGACATAGACAGTGAATGTGACGTGACCAAGAGCAGCCGGGCCCCCAGGGGCCATGGCGCCAACAGCACCGAGGACGAGTCATACGGGTGTGAGGGTAGAGCAGGGCGTGGCGCCGGGAGTCTGTTCGGGGCCGTAAATGGGTTCTATCACACCAATCACCAGGGAGTGATGCAGCAGGGGGGCAGGAAGGTTCTGGACCTGGAGCTAGCCCATCCTCAGGTTCAGTCAGATGTCAGCTCCTTCCAGGGCCGCGTTCCCCTCCACAGCACGCTGCTGGAGGAGATCTTCCAGGACCGGGACAAGCGGGGGGGCGCGCTGGGCCGGCCGCTTGGGACCGGAACCCGTAGCCAGTGCTCCAGCCCGGTGATCAGCAGCTTCCACCCGCGTACCAACTCCCTCAGTCACGCTGAGGTCACCAACGATTCCCACCAACCACGATCCACGTCCCGGTGGGATGACGGCGGTCATTATTTCAGTAAACGACCCGGCGTTGTTGCAGTGGAACCACCCTCATCATCCCGTCCCCTAAACCAATATGGCAGCTACTCCCCTATCATCTCAAACCACACCCCGCCACATTTTGCCAATCCGTACAACAACAACAACATGAGGAATCGGTCCGACACCGACCCGTTCATCCTCAGCCAGCTGACGTCCACCCCGGTCCACCACAGTGACCTGTATCGCCCCGGGTTCCAAACCCAAGCCCCCTGTTCCGCCCCTATGGAGCGGAAACCCATGGTAACGAATGGTAACCATGGTAACCTTGTGGTTCCAGGGCAGGCGCGCTCCAACACCGTGCAGCGGTTGTTTGGCCGTCAGGGGAAGCCCAGAAACAACCAGAGCAACTTAAACCAGCCGGTTCAGATGATAGATGGGTCCACCAGCAGCGGCACCGACACCAGCGACACCGAGTCCGACACCGGCGGCAGCGCGTACAGTCAGCCGCTAACATACGGCAACCCGGCCGCTGTCAGCTCCTTCAGCTCTGCGAACTCCAACGTCGTGAACTCCACCTCGCTGCTGCGGAGCAAACTCTCGTTTGGGAGTCTGCAGCTGGAGGATGGGAACGATGAGGAGGAGGGAGGGTGCTACCACTTTAACGAGGAAGAGGTCGAAGGTCGCGTGTTTAGCTGCTGAGGCTTTTCAACAGTTTTGATAGAAATGCGTTTTTTACCTCCTAACTTTAGATGAAATCAGGTTTTTACTGTTGTAAATAGCAGAAATGCAAAAAACTTCCTTCACACGTGCCATAACTTTATAAACTCGTGTAGATACCAACCTGGAGGGACACTTGGCGTTTGTACTACTGTTGCTGTCGAGGACGTCCGTGTCTGGCAAGAATCCAGATGTGTTGCAGGTGGTTTGGTCCAGGTTAAGCAGAAGGTTTGGCCTTTTGGTGGCATTATTTGCTTAGTGTTTGTGTTTGTAGCCTTTCAAGAAAAACTTTATTAACCTGACTATGTGTTGTGCAATCGAGGTGTTCTTCTGCAAAGTTACGAAGTTGAAAAGCAGGAAAATGGACTGGAGTTGTTCACTGTTTGTAGATTATAGATGTATTAAATCACCAGTCTGATGTGAACGAGCCGTTTCCCCTGATAGATCTCTGCCTTTTTGTCACCTAAAGCAGCGATATGTAAGAAATAATCAGCCAAGTAAACCCAGAAGAGTCTAATGTCGTCGTCATGGTGGAGGGATGGTTACCTTCAACCTTCTCAGCCAGCTGGGGGGTGCTCACTTTGTCTCCTTTTGAAACGAGGGGCGTCGTTACTGTCTATCGTCCCGCCTCCATACTTCCTGGTTCCAGAGCCAATCATATTTAAGCCCACGGGTTTACCAAGTCTTCCCTGACACTTGTGAGTACAGCCAAGGTAGAACCAACAGTGGTGCATGGCGGCGGTGGTGTGATGGTGTGGGACTGCTCTGCTAACTCAGTGTGTGTTTTACACACCCTTTCTGCCTGTAGTTGATGTTGGTCTCCTCTGGAGATGCTGGGTTGGTCTGTAGGGCGGTGTAGAGGGTTGTGTTTGAGACTAGAGAGTCGTCGCTGTGGCTTTAGTCGATGTTTGTCTGTGAAACTGGCAGGAACAGATCGTCTTGTTTTTGTTGTAAATCACAGCCACAGTCCTTAACGCATCCATTGCTGTCTGCTTTGCTTGGCTCTGCCCCTGACACAAACACACGCACGCACACACACACACGCTGAACTCGACTGAATGCTGTCGTTCACCCTCTGCTGTTAATGAAGAGCTTCCCATTCCCATCTGTCATTCGTTGGCTGCTTTGCTCCGCACCT